AACAGTGCCTCTGGCAGTGTTTTCATGAGGAAGTGAAGTCTGAGTCATTGGCACCAAGAAGAGTAACAGTAAGAACTCCTGTGGTACTTGATGCGTAAGTCCAACTGTGTTTGGAGAGAGAGCAGTACAAGCAAAAGAACATCACATTTGGAATGCGATCTCGTCTGTCCAACCTTGGGCTGTGTTCTTAACCTCCTTCCATCTCTCCTTCTTACAAAACTGATTTCAGCAATGCCAGCAAGGATTAAACGAGTTAAACATCTGGCACACACTGATTGTTTTAAAATGTAACAATAATTAATACTAACGGTCTAATCCACTCTTCTATCCCAGTGCTTCTCTGTGGAGGTGTTTGCCCCCAACCCCAGGAGACATCTGGCAATGTCCAGAGACATTTTTTGTGATCACCACCTGGGGAGGGCCATTCTACTGGCACCTGGTGTGTAAAGGTGAGGAATGCTACAGATTTCCTACAATACACAGAACAGTCCCCGTAACAAGAATTGCCCAGCCCAAAATGTTCAACATGCCAAGAGTCTAGACCAGTGTGAAATAATTTTTTTCATTATGACTATTTATTCTCCATAGATTTTGTCTCTTTGAATTAGCAAAGATTTACTGAGAACTTAACGGGCCAAGCTCTGTGCTAGGTGAGTCCTTAACCATTGCATTTATTTGGTTGCCTGCTGCCATTTCCCTAAAGCAACTCCCATCCTCAAATATTGTCCAACCCTATGAACATCAAGTCACGGCCTTCCCTTTCTTCTCAATGCTGCTCTCAGTGGCCCTGAAGTCAGACATGCTGTGTGTCAGAGCAAAGACCTGTATTAATCAACAACCCCAAATATAGTAACAGCAGTTTGAAAATCAAAGAATGGGCCTTGGGGACATGGATATTTGCATGTTCGTAATAAATACTTAACTACACATCTGTGCAATGTTCAATATGGTTGGGCAAGAAAAAGAACATTTGTGTTGATTTTTGTCAACTTCCACAACTCAAGCATCTGATGCACCAAAGAAATCTAAAACTAAATCCTTGTAAAGATGATTTTAAACATATTTATAATTTGCACTTATGAATTGGAGACATGCTTAGTTTACTCTGAGGTTTTTCTAGCCATCAGTTAAGCCTATACCTGTCCCTAGGGTCACTGAAATAACTTCCCAATCTGTGCTCACTTCGTTCCTATCTCATGCTCACCTCTATGACTTATAATGATCCCAGCTTTAACGTTCGAGACTTGGTTTCATGTGTTTATTCTTCTCTCTGTTTCACATCTGCATAAGCACACTTCTCTACATGCAAAGGCCCCCAGTTACCATTTTTGTGGGCTTACACCCTGCTGGGCTCTGCTGTGTTTCGTAGTCATGATCTCATTTCATTGTCAAAGAACCCTTACAGAGGCAGATGGTAGCCCCCCATTTTACAGGAGTAAAACAGAGGCCTAGAGAGGTTAAGTGAACTGGCCAGAGTCACACAGCTAGGAAGGCTGAGAATGAGTGTTCACACCCGAGGCATCTGGTTCCACCTTCTTCACCCTACGGTGTAACAGGAGGAAAGAGTACTCTTTGTAAGGAGGTAAGCAGTGCCCACACCCTTTGACCCAGCAAATCCATCCCAAAGAAACTATCACCTACAGAGCCTAGCTCGTGTGCAGAAATGCACATATAGGTGCATACACATGCCCCAAAATGTTTACGACTACATAACTTGAAAGGGAAAAAAGAGTAAACAACCAAAACAGGGGAAGCAGACCTACACTGTGGAATGGGGGGATTCCACACAAAGGAGGGGGAATGTGGCAAAGAGAGCTTTGCTTATCCACTATACATCCCCGTTCTTCCTTCGTAACAAAATCCTGCTTTTATTCAGGGTGGCAACGGACCCAACTAAGACTGCATTCCCAGCCTGCCCTTCAGCCAGGGATAGGTGTGTGCTGGTAAATGGTGGGCAATCAGCTCTCTCTTACACAAATTTCTCCGGTGTAAATTGTCCCTCTATGGCCAACTTCAAGCTACCAAGTCAAGGGCAACTGGGTGACCAAAAAACCCCCTGAGAATGTAACAATTCTCACAACCAAGGATGAGCCAGCTCCAGCATGTGACTGACGGGGGTGGGCAATAATACATCAAAAGTTTGTCCTCCCTTAAAAAGCGGGACGGACAGCAAACACATGCTTTTTCTTTTCCTCTTCTCTTCTCCTTCCTGTTAGGAAGCAGGATATGACTGACGCTCCAGCAGCTACTTTGAGCCATGAAGCAATTTAGAAAATGATGGTGATGCAGAAAGAAGGTACAGAAACAAAGGAGAAGCTTGGCTCTGTTGACCTCACAAAACTAACAGAAGAGACTTGGTCTGCCTACCTCTGGGCTTTTCTCATTGGAAAAAACAAAAGAAAACTATTTTAAAGCCACCATTGTTTTGGGTTTTCTGTTGCATGCTATCTATTTCAGAAATCTTGACTTTGCTTTCACATCTGTATTACCTGTACCTTTTTACAATGAAAATGTTTTATTTCAGTATTATTTGCAAATTTTTAAAAGGCCAAATAATTTTTGAGAGTCAAGTGGTTAGGCCCTTAGTAAGTGTTTCCAATTTGACAATTCTCGCAACAGTACCCGTGGATCATAGCATGTGGGGAGGTGGTGATGAAAAAGGAGACCAGGGAAGAACACAGGCCTGGAACACAAAGCAACAATGTGGGTACGTCCTGAAAATGAAGGCGACAGACTCGAATTCAACCAAGTTCACAAACTGCCAAAAAGATGTCTGGCCAAATAAAATTCAAAGGCCTCCTGAGATAAGCTTTGGGTGAAACGGCAACAGGTAATGGGGAAAGCACAGGATGTACTGCCAGGCTGATGTCCCCCATCCGGAAGAACTCCCCTGGGGTCTGCCCAATGGAGAGGGAAAGTGGCGAGACTCCATCTCCTGGCTCAAACAGCAGGGGGTCCACAATTAACGCGTACCGACTAAGGGGACCCCAGAAATGTTAACAAGGAAGCAGAAGATGGAGTATCAAACCACCAAGCGTCAGATGGAGCAAGAAAATATGGAGCCACCTGAGTCTCTGGGCCCGAAGGTGCTGGCAGGGAGGGCTGCACACAGCAATCTGGTGGTCAGGAAGGCCCTGGGGCAGGGCACAGACCATCTAATGGGGTCTTCACAGTCACATGCCTGAGGTGGTCACAAAGATTACACTGAGAGTGACACGGTGCAAGATCAATCATGGTGTGATTCTTCTGCCTTATCTTGCACAAAATAACCCCCAAGTCCATTTAGAAGGCATTATGGTTGACCACATCAAGTTACTAGGCTCTGTGTATGTTCTGTGTACCCAAGAGCATGGTGTGTGCCACGGAAGGGGTGGACAGCTTGTGCATAAATGAAAGTATCTAGAGAAACTCCATCTAATGTTCCAGCATTGGAAGTATTGTCAAACCTTAATGGTTAAGAATTCAGAGAAGAAAAAAACCAAGGAAGGTTGGAAAAATGACAGAGAATACAGGTCATCCTGTAAGACATGGGTCTTCTGCCAGGCTCTGAAGGATAGAATCACATAAGCCAGGGGAAAAAACTAGAAATAATGTATTCCATTAAGGAGAATGGCCAACAACGGGTGCTCAACATACATTTCCAGTGGATAATAAAAGTAGCAAAGAGAAAGAAACTGGGGGAGAGGAAAGAATAACACTGCATTCATGGGTTAAGGAAGAAGAAAGTGAAAATTTTTCTTTCATTCATAAATTTGACAGATATTAAATGTGTACCAATTAGGTGCCTGGGCACTTGTTCTGTGGCCTCAAATACCAAACTAAGTGCTCTTGGACAACAGGGAACCCCTGGAGGCTAAGAAATGAACTCCTCTTACTCACTGAAATTAACAAACCCATGTTTTTCCTGCTATCAAAAATGAGACAATGTTAGGAGGAGAAGCTCAGATTTTTCCAAGGCTCATCAGCTCATAACAGAAAAAAAGGTAACAATCAACTGGCGAGTAATGAGGCTGCCCCTTGAACTAAGATATCTCTCCTCTAGCATTTCAAACGCAGTGAAGGAACCTCGCCGATTCCACCACGGCCCAAGCAGGGTCTGGGCCAGGGTTGCCAGGTGTCCAAGGTGCCAGATTATCATAACCTAAGGCTAAGTCTGTGACAGGTGTCCCCTGGGAGGTGGTGGCACGTTTATCACAATGCTTGATGAATGGAGGGAGAGGGTGAGAGATGCTTACAGCGAGAAACATGTAATGGATATTGGCATTTAAAACAGAAAGCAGTGCTGGCTTTAAGTTAATGTTTCACATCCAGGAAGGCTAAATATCTATCGTTTTGATAGATTGCTATAACAGAAACATTAGAGGGGCTCTTTAACACCGTGTTTCAGATCTTCATTACATGAAATTAATCGCAAGTAGAATATCACACCCGATAGGGCTAGGCTCCATGAAGTAGCCAGTCAGTTAGCTTTGTACTAACACAGGAAGGAGTCTAAGGAACAATTTCACCATCTTGCAACCCGCAAGCACTGTGGGCCAGAGCCACAGAGAATGTTTTCTAGAAATTCTCAATGTAGCCATCACGCCTCTGGAGGAGATAAACAACAGTTTCACAGCTTCCTCCAAAAAGCAACACAATGACCATACTAAGTGTTAAATGTCGCATCATCAAAGAGCTGAGACTGGACAGAGCTCAAATCCCCATCCTTGGCCAAGAAGGGAGAGACCTTGGCAGCCTCCAGACCCATCCGAGGACTTCCACAGAACCATCAGTGTGGGTGAAGATTTCTCCAGAATTATCTTGCAGCCACTTCTCTCGTTACACGGGAGGAACCCTAAAGCTGAGAAGATGGGAAAGGAGGAGGACACAAAGCCCAAATACAGTTAACCACATCAGCTGAAAACAGACATGAGAAAAAATGCCAATCTCTGAGAACAAATATATGTCACATGTCCAAGGAACAGAGGTGCACTCTGGCAACACAGGCACATGCCACCCACCTGTCAAAGAGGCTCTGACGAGTCCATGCCATGGGCCCATTAGCAGAGATCCACATGGACTTCAGCATTAGAGGAGGCACACAGGGAACTCAGGTAAGCAGACAGTGTTCCTTTAACCTCTGCATTCAAAACAGCAAGCAGACTGTCTCCCAGAAGACCCTACAAAACCAATCCCTCTGCAAGTTAGCTATTTAGTCAGTAACATCTAAAAATAAAATTTAACCAGCAAAAAACCCTCTTCTGTGTTAGTTTTGACCATAAAACCATCTCAATTCAATTTCACTCCTACAGCGAGGAGAGGGTAGAGCAGGACAGGGTGGCCGGTGAGTCCTTCTAACAACACTTACTGTCCAGCTCCAATATGAGTATTTCTAGAATCATCTTGGCTCTCAATTCCTCCAACAGGGAATTCAGTCCAAAATGAAGCAATTATTTCACCCCAGTATACCATTATCTGGGACTTCTGTATCTAAATATGTTTCCTCCTTTGATACTTTTGACCCAATTGAATTTCAGGAATACGTACCTTTCTCAACTGACCTATCATTCATTCATAGTATCCATAGTTAACATGATTTACTAGGTATTCTTTCACATGGTTTATTTTGTATATATTAACATGCTATAAGATAGGTACTTACTATGCCCATTTTAGAGATGAGGATACTGAGGCTTAGGGAGGCAATTTACTACCTTGCCTGCAGTCACATAGTAATTAAGTGGAAGATCTGGGATCTAAACCCAACAATTTGGGTCCATCAGCCCTGCTTTTAATCCTGACACTATACTACATAGGTTTTACTTGCTCACTCCACAGGTAATATGAACCCTGACATGTAATCCAAAGAATAATGGTCCCCAAAATAACCCCTCTAGTGTTCTTGGCCACATGTCTCCCCACCCCCAGTTACTTCTCCCTCACTCCCCATACTACTCCCCATACTCCACAATTAGTATTTCTTTTGCCCCATCTAAACATGTTTTTTATATAAAAAACAGCCATAAAAAAATCACAGCAAGCACAGAAGTGACCCAAAATATGCAACTTATTATCTTGACCATGCAGGCATGTGTTTGACATCTCAGCCACCGTTCTAGGTTTGGGGAGTTCTGCTTGCCTAGAAGAAAGGGAAGAGATTAACCTTTCTGAGCACTCCCTCACCAGGTGCCAGCTCGTATATTCAGTGCTTTTACCTACATCACTGTCCTTAATACCAAAAGCAAACTCACCAACAGTAATGAACAGAATCTCATTTTTCAAGATGAAGAAACACTCAGAGAGGTTAAGTGTCCTGGTCAAGGAGACTCACCTAGGAGTGATGGCGTGCAGACTGAAGCCAAAACCTGATCTGAAGCCGAGGCTATTTCTGCAACAGCGTGCTGGGTAGTAGCTACCCTATCCTTTAAAACCAGAAACCACTCTTGGTTTGTTGTTGTTGTTTTTTTTCCCCCCTCTTAGCAGTGAGTCTTTACAGATTAACTGGTTGTTAAATGCTACTGACTCTAGCTAATTCCCAAATTAACTAGATTCCTTTCGGAGCCTGTAAAATGTGCTACACATTCAACTTCCGAATTTAGCATGCAAGATGATGACCACAGCAGTAAGAATGGTGCAAGTTCCCCGTTAGAACAATGCACGCCTAAAAGCCTCTTTTTAATTTCTACCTTCTTTTATGAGGGCTATGTGAATGAGGACACACCTAGGATACTGCATATTAATTTCAACACAGCTAATACCCAAAATGTCCCACCAATTTACTCTTCACTGACAATGTTAAAAGAAAATGATTTATGCAGATCAATCATCTCGCTCATCAAGTCCTACCCTGACAGCCAGCCTTCATCATTGCTATTTAAAAGGCACTGCTGACAGAAAAGACCGACTCTTTGATTAAGGGCCCTGTCTGGCTAACCTTTTATTTGAAGAATGATTGCCGCTGAGTGACAAATACTTTTCCATTCATTTCAAGGCAAAGATATTGACATTCAAATTCTTGATGGCTACACTGAGCAGATGCCACTGTTGGCAAGAGGCTCGAGAGCAACAGCAGGTAGGCCACAGCTCTGGGGGCAAGGGAGAGAAAAGAATAAAACTAAAACGCACACACACGGGCATTGGCTGAAGATTCTCAACGAGTGAAAGCCACGGCCCTCCCAGCCAGATCCTCATTCCTCAGTAGTTATCTAAAAACATCTGTTCGTAGCTGCGCCCCAGTTCTCTTCTTAAAAGTGCCCTTGCGTTACCTTGACCCTGCGTGGAACTACACAGGCAGCAAAGGCTAAGAGTAAAAGGAGTTTGGAGTGTGCAGTTCCCAGCCCTAGGAAGAAATATCTTCTTCCTTCCCTGCCCGGAATCACGTGATCCCAGCAGACCTCAAGCTAAAATTACTGGTCTCGTGGGACCTGAAGTGACTAAATACAAAATGGAAGAAGCATCTGAAAAATTACCTACAAAAAACAAAACAGGAATATTTTATCCTGTCTGCTAAAGAGAAAGAGGAGGAAGGAAAAAAAATGCAAGAGGCAGGGATTGACAGATAAAAACAGTGACCTTAAGAGACAGAAATTGAAGTTTTAAAGAAAAAGGCTATTTTTCTAATTCACTTCAGGCAGATTTCTACCTTGGTCAGTACCACACATATATAATGTAAACACATCCTCACAGCAGGATTTTTTTTTCTAATTGCTTAAATGCAAACTATTACCTTAAAGGGAATGGGGGAAATTATGGCTTAAAGAAGGCTATTTGTGACGAGAGCTATCACAAAGCCTCAAGATTAATCATTTCCAGGAACAAAATGAAAATACCTCAGCAGGTCATCAGTGATTCCTTTTAAATCTTGCCGAGAGGTGAGGGGTAGGTCTCACGTGCTTCACAAGGGACAGGATATCAAAAAAAACAAAAACAAAAACAAAAACAAACCGTAGCTCTGATCCTCTAACAAATTCCCACAGTGGGCAAGGTGGGGGGACAGCTGAGACACAGGCAGAACATTTCCCCCTGTCTCCCCGAGGCCCAGGAGGTGACCCAGGCAGCAGAGTGTAGGAAAGGCTTTCAATCCAACCTCCACTACTGGGTTTGAATCCAACCTCCATTGCTTATTAGCTGAGGGACCTGGAGCAAGTTACTGTTCCCTCCCCAACCCTGTTCTCCCATCTGCAGAATGGGGATAAGAATATCTACCACGCCGAGTTATTTTGTGGATGTTAAAGATAGTGTTAAATAAAGCAGCTTCCTCTTGCTTAAACCCCTTACTTAAATGCCTCCTTTCTTCTCCTCTTGGCTAACCTGTTTGTCTGAGAGAGCCGTCCACAGGGCAGATGGGAAGAACACAGGATGGACAGGCACAAGGCTAAGCTCTGACTCCCAGCACAGACACTTACCATCTGTGTAACTGCACAGGCTTCAGGTAAGTTCCACGTTCAAGCTCAACTTGCTCCACGTTAAGGGAGAGCAGTCCTGACAGCCTGCTTGCTTCACTGTGTTACAGTGGGGACAAACACAGTAACGTAACATTACAGCACTGAATGCTTTAAATCCGCACAGAAACACTTGCTGCTGCTACTGTTGTTCTCCACAAACAGGATATTGCAACCCATTTTGTTCTTATTTCTCCCATCGCTATTTCTCAGGGTGAATAATAAATCAATAATCATAGTATTACCTTTATTCCTTAGAACTACTCGTGGTTGCTTCTCTAGCTATCTCAAAGAAGGACCAGGTGGAATTTGTTTCTTCTGTAACAGAAACTTCCTGGAGGTTATTATGAACCAGACATTCAGACAAGGAGGTGAATGAAAAACACAAAATTCACCCAAGTGGAAAAAAAACAGACAAATCCATGGTGAAGCAATACTGAAATCATTTAAGTTAAGTACAGAGGACACTTCGGATGCAACGAGGGAGGGCGTGACTACTTGGGGGAATCGGGGAAGGTTTCACTACAGAGGAATTAGACCTGGGTCTTCAAGGGTGATCAAGTCCCCACTCGGTGGAAAGGAAGAAAAAAATTAGTGGGGAGAGAGAAAAGTAGGTGCAAAGGCATGGAGGCCAAGAGAGATCACGTGCTCTGGCAGGGACAAGGGGAAGTTCAAGACAGCCTACAGATTTCAGACTTACTCCTTTAGGCAATGGGGAGGTTTGAACTTTAAACTGCCATGATATGGCCCATGGTTTAGAAACATCATCCTGACGGAAGGCTGGACACACCAACATGTGCCGGGCACCTACTCTGTGCTAGAAATTGGAGGCACAGCAATGAAAAACACTACCTACCCCAACACTCCCCCTGTGAGGGAACTAGTCTTACTTGCTTCCACACACTATGAGCAGCAGCCCCACCGGGCAGCACCTGTGGCTTCATGTTTAGCCTCGGAATCTGCCTGTCATACCCACCTTGCTGGTGTGGGTACCTGCTTTCCTGCCTGACCTACCGCCGCATTTGCATGGTGTCTGGTGCAACTACAGGTCACCCACTTGTATGCTGAGAGCTCTGTCATCTGGCTTTCTGGTGGCCCTCCCTCAGCCAGCCTGCTGTGATCTGCAGTGACCCAGTGGACCACCCAACAGCTCCTGAAATCACCTCTAAAAGTGGGGAGGTATCTATCCAAGCCTCTGCCCCTTGCTCCCTGGAGGTACCACAATACAAGTGAGGCAAGGGTGATGCTACGTGTTCACCAAATCGAGTTTCACTGTTCCCTTCCTGGGCACGTAGACAACACTGTACAACCTCCCTACAGTTAGTTTGGGTTCTGGTCAGTATAAGGGAAAAGGATGTAAGCCACTCCCAGGCCTGGCCTTTAAAAACATCTCAGTGCAAATCTTCCGCGTTACTTTCCTAGTTTGCTGTAACAATTACCACACACTTGGCAGCTTATTTATTCCCACTTGGACACCTGAAGTCCAAAATCAAGGTGTTAGCAGGGCCACATTCCCTCCCAAGGCTCCAGGGGAGAATCCTTCCTCCTGGTAATTATCAGCATCCCTTGGCTTGTGACGGCCTTGCTCCAACCCTGCTTCTGTCCTCACATGGCCTTCTTTCCTCTTTGTGTCTGTGTCCAGGTTTCACTCTCCCTTCTCTTGGAAAGACACCAGTTTGGAGACTTAAATCTCACTGTAAATCCAGTACAATTTAGGATCCAGCTCAAGATCCTTAAGGACCCTCTCTCTTACAAGGGCCCTATTTCCAAATAAGCTCACATTTCTGAGGTTCCAGGTAGGCATGAATTTGTCTGGAGTGGGGGGGGTCAATATTCAACCCACCTGACCTCCCAGGCAACCTTGGAAGCTTCATGACCCAGGAAGTACAGTCACCAGATGTCAGAGCCAGGTCCCTGCATGACTGTGCGAAGCAGATCTCCCCCTATACCAACCCTCCCTGGGCACAAAAGGTGAGTGTACAACAAACCTTCACCATGTTGAGCCACTGAGATTTCAGGGTTAATCTGTTACCACATGGAGCCCAACCTGGCTTGGCTGCTACT